CGTAATCACACTGAGCCGAGAATGCAGAGACTGGCCAGCAGATGCCACAGAGGTGGAAATTCAGCAATTAATTCAAGATAATGCTCTCTCAGAAGATTTGGTCATCTACACAGACGGTTCAGTGTCAAGAGGCAAAAGAAGTGCTTGGAGTTTCTTAGCAAAAGTTAATGGTCGGCGTTTGGTGCAAGAGAGCCTAGCATATGATACCACAACATTCAGCTTAAGAATGGAGGTGGAGGCGGTCACTGCAGCTTCCCGTTGGCTAGAGGAAACGACACACACACACACACACACACACAAACATTGTGACTGTAACTGACTCAAAAAGCATGCCGAGGAAGATCAGGACAGGTATGCTTCGAGCAGAGTGGCATGCCTCGCTGTGGAAGACAGGTTGAAGAGTATTGTCTGGATTTTTTCACCAGGTATGCCGGTGTGTTGAGAAATGAACAGGCAGACAGACTGGCTGGCTCTGCACAACTTGGTGGAATACTGATACATGATAAGGCAGACTTGGTTAGTGCCTTGTGGAAGAGTTTGTACAGTTCGAATGAGCAGATTGATCACCACAGTGTGGTGAGATTGATGCATTTGGGGGTGACAAGAGGTTTTGGCAGATGTTCGAGGCTTAGAGGAAAGGCAAGACGGACGTTTAATCAGAATGCCACTGGCACCATTAGTATCGGAACTCTTCGATGGCTGCTGAATATAGGGACGGAGCGCTTATGGGAATGCCCTGAGTGCTGTGATGTCAGTTCTTGAATCAAATCAATCAATCAAATGTCTTTTCCTAGAACCTAGGTGTTGCGTATGCATCCGGTTTACAAATATGACTCATTCGCATACAGCTGTTGGCCCCTTGCCTCACAGCCAGGTGCACTTCGATTTCGAAGCAAGCTACCAATTAGTCGACTCTTACGACATGTTTTTGGGTAGGCAGTGGGTCTATTCTTGTCCCCCCCCCCCCCCCCATAAGATGGCTCGGAACCCACACGAGGAGTAAAGAAGTTATAATTAAGGCACCCGTAACGGCTACATTATCTTAGTGTAATGATCCACATTTTTAAATTCATTCGTTTTTCACACAGACGTGTACGAAGTGCCGTGAAGATAACCTAAATCCTAACTCAGCTCTTCTTTTTTTTTTTTTTTCTGCGTTCGATATCAGTCATGCTAAACATTGAGTCCCGTCTGGGTCACAAATAGGATTGTGCGTTTAAGGTCGCCACCGGTCCCCCATAGCTTCTCTTGCAATGTGGCTCCTTTGGGCCAGATCCACAGTCTTTGCTGGGAGAGGTAAGGGCAGTACTGCAGTATGTGTTCAGGGGTTTGTCTTTCTGCTCCACAATCACAGGCAGCAGATTCTTTTATGCCTATCCTGTACAAGTGTGCTCGAAGACCACAGTGTCCAGTCCGAAGTCTAAGAATTGATGTTTGTTCTTTCCTGTTGAGTTTGTTTATGCTGTCACTCTCTGGTCTGTAATCTCCATTCTGCCTTCTCCACTCCCGCTTGAAAGACTGCTTTAGCGCTGTTTTGGGTTTCCTTGTAGCTGTGTGGTGGATGAGGTTGTGGAAGATTACTCCCAGCTTTTGCCAACTCATCTGCTCTCTCATTTCCCTGAATACCACAGTGGGCTGGTATCCACTGCAAGACCAGTTCTGCTTCCTTGGAGAGTAAGCCAATGTTGGCCCTTAGATAAGCAATTATTTTGTCTTGTTTTTTTGCTGGATAGTGCTTGGAGAACAGACAATGAGTCGCTAAGTATAACAATTTGGTGCCCTCTGTGTTCTTGAGTGATGAGATGTTGGACTGCAGAGAGGAGAGCAGTTGCCTCAGCTCTGAAGTTAGTGCAGATGTCACCTGCTGGTAGAGAGAGAGTTTCTGCTCTACTGCTAGGGGGTTTAATGTAAATTCCACAACCCCCCTTTCTGACTGCATCTGTAGCAGAGCCGTCGGTGAAAACCTGAGTCCAAGTGGTGTTTGGATACTTCTCATCAAGCATAGCAAGAGCCAGGGTTCTCTGTTGTGTCTCCGTCTGGGCATCTTTTGAAGTGATTCCTGGTACCTTTAGGACTACATTTGCTTTCTCTGGCTTGCTTGTCCATGGTTCTGGCCTAAGTTTTTCGCACAGTGCAACATCTCTTTCAAGCAGATCTTGGTGCTGTCTATACAGTTCTCTAGCAAGGTGGTTGGGGCTCTGACGCTTCAGTCTGTTTTTTGTTCTCTCTTGAAATTTAAAATGCAGTGGGTGACTTTGAAGTCTTTTTAATTTCTCATACTGTAAAAGAGTTTTGTATTGTCTTCTGAGTTCGAGTGGTTCAGTATCTGCTATCTTTTATATTTCTCTGATGGGGGTGGTTTTCATGGCTCCGAGAACAATCCTTAATCCCATATTCTGAACCTTGTCCAGTTTTCCCATTGTTGTCTTGGCTGCTGCAGCCCATGCAGTGGAGGCATATTCCATGACTGGCCTGACTGCTCCAGTATATACTTGTTTTAGGATTCTAGAGTTAGCGCCCCATGTGGTACCCGCTAATTTTTTCATAACTGCAAGCTTCTTGAATGCTTTTCCCTGTACTGCTTCTACATGTGACTTCCAAGTTAGTCGCGAATCAAGTGTAACGCCCAGAAAGGTAGGAGTGTCAGTCTGTGGAATGAGCTGGTTTTTAATCCAAATTTTGATTTTTTCTTTTTTTGGGGAGAGTGAGAAAAGTGATGCTGTGCTTTTTGCTTTATTTAGCTTTAGACCCCACTTTTCGGTCCAGGCTTCTACATTTTCCACAGTTTTTTGTAACAGATATGAGGCTGTGGTAGTGTATTCGGAGGCTGTCCAAACTGCAAAGTCATCGGCATGTAGGGTATTAAAAACATGCTGGTGGCAGGTTGCTGTGATATCATTAATGTAAACCAGGAACAGAGTTGGTGATATAGCACTGCCCTGGGGAACTCCTTCTCTAAGTTTTGCCAGTTTGCCAATGTGTCCATCAATTCTGAATCTGGCTCTGCGTTGGAAAAGAAAGTCTTTGATCCACTTGTACATGTTGTGCACAACTCCTGCCTGTAGCAGTTTTAGTTGTAGGCCTTCTTTCCAAACTGTATCAAAAGCACGAGAGAGGTCAAAAAAGACAGCAAGAACTTTCTTTTTTTCCTGGAAGGCATTCTCAATTTCCTGTGTCAGATATGTCAACTGGTCCTCTGTATTTCTGTGCTGTCTGTATCCTGTCTGGGTGGTGGTGATTACTGAGTTTGTCTCCAGGAACCATATTAGTCTTTTATTTACTAATTTCTCCATCAATTTTCCTACACAACTAAGAAGGCTAATAGGTCTGTAGCTTTTGGGTCTCTTCTGTCTCCACCCTTTTTAAGGATAGGCTGGATGAGGGCTTCCTTCCAGGCTGACGGTACTACCCCTTTTTGCCAGCTCTGGTTGTAGATGCAGAGGAGAAACTTCTTGGCAGCAGGTCCAAGATGAGAGAGAAATTCGTTTGTAATGCCGTCAGCCCCTGGGGCTTTCTTCATTTTTAACTCTCCAATTCCAACTTCCAGCTCTTGCATGGTAAACCTTTCTGACATGCAGGCCTCTTTTGTTTTTGTGCTAAAGTCTGCTAGAAGAGTCTTGGTCTGGTTTCGTACTTCTTTTATTCTTTGCATGGGAATAAACTCAGCTCTATTCAACTAAGTTTTTTAAGGGGCCAAAAGTTGGAAAATGAGAATCGTCACCGGTCAGAGGGCTAAACCTCAGCATAGAAAGATCATTAATACAATACAACTGGCAATAATCCACGGGCCACTTGCTAGGCCTCCACGGGCCAGATTTGGCCCGCGGGCCGCCAGTTGAATAGCCCTGTCATAATCAAGAGTCATTACACATTCGTTTAACAGTCATCATCATCATCATAAACCACTTCTGCCGTTAAGCGCCGTGGGGAGGAATGATTTGCGATCCAGTGCACGTTGGCTGCCACTAGCTATTGTCATGCCGTGAAGGCGTAGTGTCTTTAATGTTGTCGATCCATGTTTTCCGCGGCCGTCCTCTTGCTCTTGTAGTTGACCTTTTTAGATGTAGTGCTTGTGATGGTATTTGATCTTGCTGTATTCTAACGAGATGGCCAAACTACTTGATCTGCTGTTTCTTGATGAATCTAGTACAAGGTGTCGTTCCCACAATTTGCCTGATTGTTTCATTATTCACTCGATCTCGTATGGTTAGGTTGGCTGCTTTTCTCAGGCACCTCATCTCGCAGGTGGTAATTTTGCGTATATGGTCTTTAGATAGTGTCCATGTTTGGCACTGGTAGCTTAATGTTGGAATGAATATGCTATTAATAATCTGTCTCTTTGCACTCATAGTTATGCTTGGATGTCTTAATAATGGTGACAATTGGTATATAAGTGCACTTGCTTTCTGACATCTGGTTTCTATTTCTCTGTCAATTCTACCATCTTCTGTGATCATACTTCCTAGATTTTTAAACTCCCTTACTTGATTCAGGGCAGAACCATTCAGCTGTATGTGTAGTGGGGCAGAATGTCTACTAACTTGCATTGTTTCAGTTTTATTTACATTGATCTACATGTTGTATTTGCCCGTCTCTCTAGCGTAGTTGGCTAAACCGGATTGCGCGGTGAGCGGGTGACGAACTCCTTGTGGTCCGGGTTAACTCTCGGGGGTGGGCAGAAAAGCCACATTTTCTCCCAGATATACGGTATTTAAAATGGAATCAAGGCCGAAAGGTTGCGATATCCATAATACCGAGCCTAAGGGTTAACAACTCATGGCTTCTGGATACTAAAACAAACAAACAAACATGTTGTATTTACTACATGCTGAGTTTAACCTGTTTAAATAGTGGTCTATTTAAACGAAGAGTTTGTAAATAATTGGGCATTTTCACTTCCGGGGTGGGTTGAAACCAGAGAGATTTCCTCTTGTTGGTTATCATTTGACTCTAGCCGTAACCTGTGATTTAACGTGAAAAGTTAGGCACAACAGTCTTTCATGGCTAAAAACACAGGATCAAGTAAATTTCGAAAGGTCGACGTAGACCAGTACGATGAAGACAGGTAAATGGAAACGACATGACATACGTTTCCTGCTAGTAGTTCTCAGTTCTCTTACATCTGGAGATCTTTCAATTCCTTTCCTGATCTCCAGTGTCTGTTCTGTCCATGAATCATTTTTTATTATTCATTCTCATTGACTCTGTCTTGTGTGTAAGCTTCGTAATTGCAATAACGGCTTTAAGGATGAACTTAAAATAAGGATATATAAGATTGGCACATATAATTCATCTATACTAATTAAAATAATATAAAAATATAATGTTTGAGGGCCACTGATTTGAAGACCGGATCCTCAGATTTTTAAAACTATTTTTACCAATTAATAATAAATATAACGTTGTTGTTGGGGATGCTGTGGGACTGTTCTTTTTCTTCTTCACATTCACTGGCTGTAAACTACCCAAAAGTATGTTGTAAGAGTTGACTAACTAATTGGAAGCTTCTTTCAAAGTTGGAGAGCATCTGCCTGAGAGTCAAGGCCAGGGAGTCAAGAACCAGGCAGCCAAGAACCATTAGTCTGCATACACATGAGTCAGATCTGTAAAATGGATGTGCATGCAACACTCAGGTTCTGGAACAAGACTGGAGTCCAGAAGCGGACAAAAAAAAAACCAGACCCCCCCTACCCCCACAGATTTTACAGTCAGTGAATGCAAAGCAGATGAAAAATCTCCCACTTTATTCACTTCAACATTTTAAATGAAATGAGTAATATTCTGCCTGTTCTCATGCCTCGTTAGTGGTGTTTTCTTTTCCAGATATGAAGATGACATCATTGATGCCGTTGAAGAAGGCCCTAATGAAATTGAAGTCAACAACCTGCTGCAGAGATATCCTTTTATAGAAGTTTTAGACATGTATTAATGTTGTAAATAAGATTCTTATAATTAACCTAGGGCTCCCATGGTTGACCCAGTTTCACATAGGTACCATAAATCGATTGAGAAGCAAGGTGATCAGATGATATTAACCACATCACACAATGACTGCCCTACTTCTTCAGTTCCTCTTTTACCGCTTTGGGTGTCGAGGGAGATATAAGATTCTGCTTCTGGTTTTTCTGTCGACTTGAGTTTCTCTTATGTTAGCTGTCTAACTTATTCTTGCTCTGTTTTGTGCCGAACGTCCTTCTCCTTTTTTCTTTGTGTGTGTATGTATGCCTTGTATGGTATGGCATCACAAGGCATAAGCTCTTAGTGGGCAAACCATTTGATTTGCTGTCTTTGGGTGCAATTTAGAATTGGTTTTGTGTCAACTTTTTCTTCTTTGACCCCATTCATGGTTTTATCTCTTCTGGTCACTCCTGCAGCTTTTCTCAGAAATCTGATTTTACTGGTTACTAATTGTTATCTCTGGTTTGTTGTAAGTGACCATGTCTGGCAATGGTAGCATGGGATGGGAATGAATATGCTTTGTATGAGGTGTTTCTTTCTGCTGATTGGGATTGTCTTATGCTCTAGGGGGAAGAGGGCTGGCTGTCCCAATACTTAGTTTCTTTGACTGCATCTGATATTCATTTCTTCATCTAATTTGTCATCTTCGATGAATGTTGTTCCCAGATATTTAAGCTCATATGTCTGTTTAAGGCCTTTGCCTGTCCTCTACTGCTATATTTAGGTTCTGCTTCTTGCTTTCTGTTGACATTACATCTTTTCAGCGTTGATTCTCAAATGATAATTTGTACCTTCTAAATGAAAAGGATGAATGAACCACCAATATAAAAACTGATGAACATCACTTAAAGCACTTTAAAAGAATTTTACATATTTGGGGAGCATTGGACACCTAACAAGAATTCGCTGGTACTATCTGCCACAGCGAGCCACACTAAAACGTTACAACGGGTTTGGAGCAACCGAAGACCTAGGAAAATATGGAGTGATGGCATTAAGAACAGCGTTACAGAAATGAACTTCAGTTTTAATAGTGCTCTTGACAGAGCTCATCAAGGAATGTTACTTCCCCCCCCCCCCCCCCCCCCCCCCCCCCAACACACACACACTTTGATAAGGTACAAGGTGAAAGATGGAAGAAAAGGAAGGGGATAATTTTTTTTAGGAGACGGAAGAAGTCATAAATAAATCCAACAAAGATGCAATAAAACCAATAAAGTTTTAGGCCAAATGCTACCAATTTTGAAATGCAAGCCTGTGATTATGAACATCAAAGGGACACTGTTCAACACAATATTCTTACCAGCGCTGCGCTATCAGTGTCAAACATAGACACCATCTTCATAAGACAGAAGGAAAATAGTCACAACTGAAATGACATGTTTACGTACAAGGCTAGATTTAACAAGGTAAGATCGACTTATGTACGATAATATCAGGAGGAGAGTTGGCACAGAACCAATAATGAACTTTATAGGTAGACAACAAATCAAATGGTTTGGACATATAACAACATTGGCATCTGACAGGGCACCACAGAGAGCAGTGCCAAAACAGATGCAATGGTAACAGAGCCAGAGGTCAACCACACAGAAATAGACCACAGAAATATCAGAGAAACTGAAAAAAAAACCATACACGAAGCAAACAGAAGGGTCTGTTCCAGAGATTCTTTCTGCTCTGATGCCACGAGGCATTCCAGGATTAGAGAAAAAAAGAAGACCTATATTTATAGATATTAGATGTTGTTGCAATTTCATTGACACATACGTTCCAGAGGCCAGGTCATCTGCAAAGAGAATTTGTTGATCTTACTAACATTTTCATTCCTGTGCTTGGCATCCTTGCATATACTCTTCTTCTTCTTCTTCACTGCTTTCACCGGCTGTGAACTACGGCAGAAAGTTCTGATTGGTCATCCACTTCTGGACTTTAGTCTGGTTCCAGAAACTGAGTGTTGCATGTACATCCATTTCACAGGTCTGCCTTGTTTGCTTGTGGATTGCTGGTTCCTTCCTCTCAGGCAGATGTACTTTAAAGGAAGCTCCCAGTTTGTTCAATCTTATGATATCATGGACAAGCAGTGGGTCTATTCTTGTTTTCCCCACATTAGGGCCCCGGAACCCACACAGGGTTTGTATATACTGTTATTATAGGTGACAAACAGCAATGGTGATAAGGCACATCTCTTTCTTTCCGCAAATGTTCCCCCCATTCTTTAAATTTTTTGTTTGTTTGTTAAATGGGCCTAGCACCATAGACTCAGTGAACCTGTAGTGTGAGAGTGGCTACTTTAATTTTAAACATGTTATTATATTCTTCTTAACCTGGAGCACAGATAAATATCAGGAAGCCTTGCAGCATGTGCTACAGAATGCTCCGGTTGGTTCCAAAAACCAGGCAGTTAAAGTGAGTCCTGTTTCTAAAAAGCATTTATTTTTTGTCAGTAGCATACGTCCTATAGATCACATTAGGAAAAGACTAAAGCCCAGAACTGGATGAACCACCAGAACTTTCTACTGTAGTTTACAGTATCTGAGGTTCCAGGACATTCAGGATAAGTGGGCAACTTTATTTTCTAGTTCATAGATGTATATAACAGACTTTGTATGATTCTATTATTTACATCTATGAACAAGAAAATAAAGTTGCCCACTTATCCTGAATGCTGTGGATCCTCAGGCACTTCCCACAAATCAGAGACACTATAGATGGCATCCTAACCAAAGGAGAATAACTCCCTTAAAAGTGCAGACAATCACCAGTCAGATGTTAAAATAGAACCTGACCAAAAACAGATGGAAATAGATATCCACAGATGGATAAGCAAATCTTTCCCGTGTGGGTTCCGGGGCTCTGTTATAAGGAAAACAAGAATAGACCCACTGCCTACCAAAAAGCATGTTGTAAGAGAGCTAACTGGGAGCTTCCTTCAAAGGCGGAGTACATCTGCCTGAGAGGCAAGGGACCAGCAGTCTGCATACAAATGAGTCAGATCTATAAAACGGATGCACACACAACACTCAGGTTCTGGAACAGGACTGCAGTCCAGAAGTGGATGAATAACCAGAACTTTCCGCCAGAGTAAGAACTCGAAGAAGAAGAAAAAGGATAAGCAAAGGAAGGTATAAGGGAGGGAGGAGGTGAATTCCTATTGAATGGACCAATGGTTCCCTATAGGAAAACACTGCTCCAATTAAAAAGCAGAGGTAATAGTGCTGGAGGAAGCAGTCTCCACATTACTCGGTGAATGCAGCTGTGAGGCCCTCTCAGTATGCAAACAAAACAAATTGATAAGCTACTTCAGTTCAGCAAGCTTAGGTCTCTACACTGAGCATGGAGGTACTGAGATGGCTGCTTCAGAGGATGGAACACAAATGGGTCAGACTGATGTGGTAGGGATGCCAATGTGGACAACAAGTAACAAGCATAGATCTCTGCTGAATCGATTGGGACAGCTAACCAGACAGTGGATTCCAGGCCACTGAAACATTACAAGAAATGAACAAGCAAACTACTTATACTTAGCAAAAACTGGGAGCAGTACACAACAGACAGGATGCACTTATGAAGACAGTAAAACCCAGATCAAGGCAGTTATTTGACTATTTTTAAAAAAAGTTGTCATTGGAGAAAAGTTGTCAAGTTGATCAGAAGTGTTCGTCAGTGAAAAGCATTTGACAAGTTTATTGATGAGAAAGGCCTCACAAAGTTGACCAAAAATGAAAAGTTCTGAAAAAAGTGTCCAGAAATATTTGACAAGCTGTACAAAAAGTGAGATGAACCAAATTTGCTTGAGCCAGATGCAGACATTGTCACCTCTCATCTACCTTTGTGTCAGTGTTTACTTCCCTTTTTTTTTTTTGGTTTCGACAGTTTGCTAATGTTGAGGATTAGCGAAACTGACTTGCATGTGAAAAAACAACTTGCTGGCAGTGATATATTATTATTTCCACATTAATAGTTAGTGCATGTACTTCAGCCGAGTAATTTGAGCAGAATATTCTAGTTGGTGAACTGGTGGAAACTACCTGACAAAGCAGATCTACTAAATTACATGTTGATAAAACTGTTGAACTTAACTTTCTTGATGATGGTATCAACTTATAAAGCCAAATATGTGCTTATGTTTTAATTTGTTACTAAAATGAATTCTCTTTGACTATAACAGATAACTTCACAATGGTTTGTTTAAATCCTCTCTGAGGTAGGGACTTTACTTTGAGAAGAGAAGGGTCATCCAGTGTATCAGAAGTGAACAGAATCTGGCCAGAGATGACTACCACTTACTTGACCGGCAAGGACAGTTCATTATTCTACGCCTCAGGACAGGACATAACAAACTTAACAAGCATATGTACAGGCTTTGTCTAAGTAGTTTACCATTGTGCCCTTGTGGGTTGTATGTGCAGACTACAGAACATGTCCTGCAAGAATGTCCCTTGAACAGCAAATTAAGAAGGGAAAACTGGCCCACTAAGTCAACACTGTACACAAAGTTGTATGGAACTAAAAAAGAACTCTTAAAAACACTCAAGTTTATTATAAGAACTTGTCTGTTGGTGTAAATCAGAAAATGAACACAAGAAGAAGAAGGTAGGGATATTATATAAAATGTATCCTAGTTCCTAGGTTGATCCATACTTATAAGAGTAACAAAGAGATTTTCTGGAAAGTAAAGATGGCCTTATAATATTGCATTGCCCATTTAGGGTCTATAAAATATGGTGTTAGCGACATATATCCTTTGCCCACCTCCAGATATGGAAACGATTCCCGTACTTGACTTATAAAATACAACTTACGCTAGACGGTTTGTTCTCACTTGCCAGGACAGAGCAGCTAATTTAGCAGTGAGGGTTCTCACATCCTTCAAGGGAGACATGGACCAGTGCATCAAGTCTCTGGACAACCGCAGCATTGACATGCTAATGAAGTACATTTACAGGGGCTTTGAAACGCCATCAGAAAACAGCAGTGCTGTGCTTCTAACCTGGCATCAAAAGGTATGTTTCTTATTAGATCGGCAGGTATTTACTGGCATGCATCATATTCCTAATGGATAAGGCATCGGCCTCCTAAGCCGGGTATTGCGGGTTCGTGTCCCATCGGAGGTGTTATACTTTTTTTTTTATGTGTCGGTGTGTGTGTCTCTGTGTTTGTCTGCATGTGTGTGTGTCTGGGTGTTTTTCTGCATTTTTGATGTGACTGTGTGTATATCTTCGTTTGTGTCTGTGTGTGTCCCCGTATGTGTTTGTCTGCATGTTTGCCTGTGTATGTTTATGTGTTTTGTCTGCGGGTGTGTCTATGAGGCTGTATGTATGTATGTCTACGTGAGTGTATGTGTCAGCATGTGTCTGTCTGTCTGTCTGCATGTCTATGTATGTTTCTCTGTGTGTATTGTGTGTGCCCCTTTGTTGTCTGTATGTGTCTGCATGTCAGAGTATATGTCTGTGCATGCTGAATATATGTGTCTGGGTGTGTATTTCTATGTGTTCGTATGTGTATGCATTTCTGGGTGTCAGTATGTGTTTGTCTGCCTGTTTGTCTGTATTTATGTGTATGTTTGACTGAGTGTGTGTCTATGTGGCTGTATGTATGTGTCTGCATGTTTGTCTGCGTGTGTGTGTGTCAGTGTGTGAGCACGAGTGTAAATATGTGTGCTGTGTGTTTCCCTGTGTGTGTTTATATGTAAGTGTCTGTGTGTGTGTCTGTATTTTTGTCTAAGTGAGTGTGTGTGTCTCTGTTGGAGTGTCCGTGTGTGCATGTGTGTGTCTCCATGCATGACTGTATTTATGACTGTATGTTTGTATGTATGTATGCCTGTATTACGTATGTATGTATGAATGTATGTATGTATGCCTGTATGTTTGTATCTATGTTTATGTGTATGTATGTATGCCTGTGTGTATGTGTGTATGCATGTTTGTTTGTATATATGTATGTATGCCTGTATGTATGTAATGTATGCATGCATGTATGAGTGGGTGAGCGAGTGCATGTGGGTGTATGTATGCGCGGATTTTTGCATGCACTTTACAACTCATGCTTTTGTGCTCTTTTATAACATTCATAATATGCATATCATCATATGATCATAACATGCTTTATTAGTAAAATACAACTGCTGTGCGAAAGAAGGTTGACTGGAAGGGCCGAATGTAAGACGGGCCTGCGTGCCCAATTTGTGACCCCTTGAAAATAAAGTTTGTTCGTTCGTTCATTCCTTGTTATCTTGCCTTCTTTCTTCAGTTTCTGATATTCCTTGTCATCTTGCCTTCTTTTTTCAGTTTCTGATATTCCTTGTCATCTTGCCTTCTTTCTTCAGTTTATGATATTCCTTGTCATCTTGCCTTCCTTTTTTTTTTAGTTTCTGATATTCCTTGTCATCTTGCCTTCTTTCTTTAGTTCCTGATATTCCTTGTCATCTTGCCTTCTTTCTTCAGTTCCTGATATTCCTTGTCATCTTGCCTTCCTTTTTTTTTTAGTTTCTGATATTCCTTGTCATCTTGCCTTCTTTCTTCAGTTCCTGATATTCCTTGTCATCTTGCCTTCTTTCTTCAGTTTATGATATTCCTTGTCATCTTGCCTTCTTTCTTCAGTTCCTGATATTCCTTGTCATCTTGCCTTCTTTCTTCAGTTTCTGTTAGGATATTCACAAGCACACTGAAATGACAGACATGCTTGCAAAGACTACAGGAAACCTACAGCATCCCCGCCTGCCTCAGAGCCCCTATTTTCTTTCTTAAGGACTGTGATACAGTGCACGACACCCATTTTTATGTTGCCACAGGATAAAAAAACATTGTTTAAAAAAAGTCTTTTGTATGATGTCACAACATCTCTAATGGGAATGGGGGTGAAAGCTATAACTGCAGCTTTCCAATTGCGGGAGATAGCAAAAACCGTCTTTCTCTTCTTCTTCTTCTCTTCCACAGTTTACCTCAGCGAGGTGATGGGGGAAGGTGTAAGGATCATTTGTGTACTTTTTCCAATGCATTGTACAAGTTGGTGTTCATTTGTTAGGTTGTTCCTGATGATGTCGCTCCATCTCTTGCATGGTCTTCCCCTTGCTCTGTGTTCATTATATTTCTTTATTGTGGCTCTCTGTGGCAGTTGGTACCAGGGCATTCTCATCAGGTGGCCAAACCATTAAAACAAAACTAAAGTAAAAACCAGCATTTTGAATACGTAATGGGCTCCTAGAGCATGCTTTAGAAAATATACGTTGCTATGTTATGCATGCGGTGACTTGTAACCATTTATAAGATTCAGGTCGGTAGCATGTCATGAATATTTTTTAAACATTACTATTGCTGTTCTGGGTAGTAAGCTACTTTATGCTAAAACGAATGTATTAAAACTTTCTGAGATCAAAGTATCCAAACCTGTCAAAACTAATTTAACAGGATGTTTACTGAATCCATGAGATGCAACATTTTCGGCCTTGTCTGTTTATGTTTCCTTAGTTTAGGGGCTTTAATGACCACTGAGCATTTAAACATCTTAACACAGTTAGCTTTCCTCATTGTGGACTGTGCTGACTTCAGAGGAGACATTGCTTCTGATATATATAAAATGTGGCATAATCAGTACAGACGTAGTAGTGGCGGAGATTTGCACCTGTTTGTCATCCAGAATCTTTCTTTGGGTTTTGTTCTAGGGACACTTGAGCTGAAGTCGTCTAGCAAGAACCTTATTCAGTGGGCCACTTTGTTATGTTATTAGGGCATATCTTCAGTTGACATCACTTTCTCATGATTTTGGGGTGGTTGATGAGTGCCAGAGACTTTTCTGCATCATGTCTTTGGTCACTGCATCAATGGGAACCACGAGCTGCGAGATCCAGTGCTAGTTCTGCTCAGATCTGTAAAAGTTATTTATCTATGATGCCTGATGGGTATGCATGGCCAGAGTATTGCATGGGTTACCGTCCAATCCTGCATTGAACCCACTGGCACTGGATCTGAGGTATGTAAAAGGGCCCTTTTTCACACCTGCAGGCGGATTGTGAATGTAGACTATATGTTAAGGCTATTGCTGGGTGATGTGGTCAGCATCACGCCTGCCGCTTTTACTTCCCTGCACTTTAGCTAGCACCAATTTAAGGCCGTGTCGACCTGGGAGCCAATGTCATTTTAAAAAAAGCCTGGCTACGTTTGGATTTAAACCAATGCCCCTTTGATCCACAGATGAGTGTCTAGGTGCTAGACCACAGTGGCTTTCCCTTATAAATGTCTTAGGCTAATAAATTATTGATAATATCAACAGCTGTAATGCAATATAAAATTGTATTCATATGTAAATTAAAATAAAGAAAATAAGTTTTTTAAAAATATAAACGACCCTTTTCCACGCCTTTAGGCCTATAGGGCATATGGGGCTAGACCTATATTTTATAGACCAATTGACACAAGATAGGTGATGTGGTCAGCATCACGCAGGCCGCCTTTACTTTCCGGGACTGCACCCGGTACCCACTCAAGGCTGGGTCGACCTGGGAGCCAAGGTCATTTTTGAGAAAAGTCTGGCTCCGCCAGAAAGCGAACCCATGACCTTCTGATCCGCTGTGAGCGTCTAGCCGCTCCGCCAAGGTGACTCCCAAATATCTTCTTCTTCAGCGATCTCTGGTCATGCGCATAATCCACTGTGGGTCATAAACTGGAATGTCTTTTCAAGGTCTCTTAGGTTTCCCCAAAGCTTAGTTGTCAGTTCTACTGGGTGTTGCCATATGTCACTCCGCAGCTCCGCCAGGAGAGGACAGTCTTGCAGGACATGTTCTGGAGTCTGTTCAGCACGAAGGTACTGGCAGAGAGCTGTTTGGCTCATACCTAATTTATGTGAACTCCCAAATATAGAAAATGCTTAATTAATTTCTACTTTTTTTCTTTTCAAACTGTTCTGCAGGCATTTGCTGCTGGAGGCCTCGGCAGCATCATGAGAGTGCTCACAGATCGAAAGCGAGTTTAACCTAGTTAAGCATTTGTCTTGTCATGTTTGAGGATTACTAGGTTTGTATGGAAGTTAGACATTTCAGATTTTTTGGGGGGGAGGGGGGGGGGGCTGGTGGGCATTGCTGCTGGAAATATTTGGAGAGACTTTCACCTTTCAAAATTATTATTTTGTATGAACTATGGATTCTTTGGTGAATTTTGGGAGTTGCTGAATTAATTGATCAATTTGTATTAGGTTCATATAAAGAATTGCATGTTCTTGACTTCATATTTGTCTGATATTATATACATATTTTTAGCTGAATGTTGAATTAGGAATCAACATGCCAGGACTAGGACATTATGTCTTCATCTTCAGCAGCAAGCGCAGAGTTCAAATTCCGATGGCGTCAATAACAGTTTCATTGTATATCAAACTAATCTTTCCCTTGAGTGTTGAGCTTCAGCCAGATCCCCTAGTCACTCCTCACAGCACCATTCTCCTCAGACTGTTATGATCTATTTGTGGCGCCTCTGCACCGCGCACTAGCTCCCATTAGCTTGTCAGGCATCAGTTCACCACCAAGTGGTGCAGAACCAGGAAGACTGTCTGCCTGTTCATTTTCCAACACACTTGGGTTACTTGGAGAAATTATTTAAAGGACGCTAACTACCCTGGACCTCTGAAGCGATGCTTACCACTTTGCACGTAGAATACCTGTCTCCACCTTTTTCAGCATGCTGTGTGTGTCATTTATAATTACAATATTTTAGCTTTTCATATCAAGAATATATAGAGGAAATTTACACAATTTATGTATATTTTGTCCCTTGCTGTTGTTAAAAATAACTGTGTGGTTGAAAAGGAGTTAAAACAGTAACTGTTTAAAACAGCATTAAAGAAATCATTGGGGCACAATTGACCCAGTTATGCCTGTATGACCAGGGTTCTGAGAGGATGCCAAGAACAGAGTGTATACTTGATGTGTTGGGCCGTTGTTCTTCACATAAGGCTCGGGTTTTTTCTACCATTCCATTCTTTCCTCCGCACTTGTTTCACTGTCCTCCGTGTCTGGGTTCCAGGATCCAGTTGCAAAAAAAAATTATACTCACTGCACCACTAACAAGCATGTTGTAAAAGTTGACAAGTTGGAGGTGTTTCCTTCAAAGGTGGAGGGCATCTGCCATAAGAGGCAAGTAATCAGCCTTCTGCATACAAATAAACCAGAGCTATGAAATGGATGTGCATGCAGCTGAAGTTCTGGAACAAAGTTAAAGTCCAAAGGTGGACAAACAACGAGAACTTTCTGCCCAAGTTTACAGCTAGTGAATGCAAAGAAGAAGGTCCATTCAAATAAGGCTGGCAGTTCATTCTTCCACTCCATTCGATCCTGTGCAGTTGTTTCACCGTCGTGGATGAAATCCAGTCCAGCACAACTGACCTCTCTCATCAGTTTCTTTTGGAAGTTCTCATTTCCTCAGCCCATTTGTCTGACATCTGTTCAGTTTCTCCTACGTGGCTTTTATTACTGACATGGCTAAGAAAATCTTTTGACAAAAACTAGGAAATCAGTGTAGCAGAGATTTCTTCTTTGGGTGTGTTGATGACACCCAGGTTGGTCTTTTGGTTAGCTACAGAAGGAGACAATTAAAAGATTGCAGACAAGGAGGAAGATGGTCGTGTCGACAGTAGCGATGATGTTGAAGTTGCATGCTTTTCACGCCACTCTGATGCTTGTGTAATAAAATGTCTTGAAACAACTTTACTTCTATTGTGCTGTCTTTATTGATATTTCTAAATACGATAAATAACATCATTGGTATTCTGAATGACAGCTAATTTCCTTCTATAGTTGTGTACTCTTAATGTCGCCTTGTGTTCTTCAGTTTTGTTTACTTGTAACTGGTTCTGTTAATTATGACTGCCACCTAGCTTCTAGTGCTGTCTGGTACTAACGGTTTGATCATCGACTCCAACATCATAGTAATGTTTTCCTTCGAAGTCGGAGAGGCAAGGAACCAACAGTCTCCACACAAATGTGTCAGATCTGTCAAACGGATGCACACGCAACACCCAGGTTCTAGGACAGAACTGCAGTCCAGAAGTGGACGAACAACCAGAACTTTCCACCAGAGTTTACAGCTGGTGAACACAAAGAAGAAGAAGAAGATAGTAATGTTTCTGTCTCTGTTGAGCATGGCTCTGTTTATCTTGTCCGCTGTCTCTGTAGGTCAGTATCTCTTTTCTAATGTCTGTCTTTCAGGCTCCATGTGACTGGTTCCTCTCCTTCTTGTGTTGAGCTGGCATCACCACAACTGAAGGTTCTTGTCTGCAAGGGTCTATATGATTAGTAACTCTTCTTCCAAGTCTTGAGGACTGAAGCTTCTCATCTGCGATGGTCTGTATGACTAGTTTCCTCTTCCTTTGAGTCTCAGCGACTGGAGGTTGCTCAAATGGTTTCTTACTCATTATTTATATCTGCTTTAGGAATACGAAACACTACTCACTAACTGCTTCTGGAAGGTTCTAGTACACTCAAACATGTTTACCATCTGTGTTTTCACTGTAGGATTTCCTAATTGCGTCTCGATTACATAAAATAGCTCTACACGTAAATACACTAACTGGATTGACAGCTGGCCTTGTAGGGTCTTCCATAAGTTCTGGAAAGCGACAAGGCTCTGTTTAATAACAAGATTACGTCAGATACTATTTATTTAACGAGGTTAATAATTTGCATATCTCTCTGTTAATAAACAAGTGATGGTTCTAGAAAAGGAATGTCAAGGTTGCTAAGACTTGTTGATTTTTAATCTATTCTAACTGGATAATTGATGATGTTTCACTGTTATATCAAACCCAAAAATGACCAACAGTCTGGTAGCATTACAGCACTGAACAATATATATATATTTTGTGTGTGTGTGTGTGCATGATCACACAGAAATTATTATTGGCCCATGAGGATTTTTTCCATGGCCTATAGGTTGCAAAACACTGGTCTATGCTCTCGCAGTCCTATTCCTGTTGGATGAAAATGCAGTATCCTGCACCAATCAGCTTGCAGGTATCTACATTATCTAATGTGGCCAGAGAGTGTAGAACTGAAATAGAAGTTATGGTGTCCCTTTGGGGACTTGACCACTGTTCAGCTTGCAGATATCTACACTGCCTGTTGTGTCTAGAGCACGAATAAGACGTCAAAACTGTAAACGGTGATCCTAAGGGACGTAAACTATTGTTAAATTACTAATACTTTAAATATATTATTTCCCTGTTGTTATCATGTATTCTGTCTTATCTTGATTGATAACTAGTTCCATTTGTTAGCTGCTTCTTTTAAGAGAGTCAGTGTTTTTACAGTCTCTAGTTCATTTTCTCCGACTATATGTCATCTGCATAGCAAAGTATTCTTGTAGTTTCTCCTTTAGTACACTCTTTTATTAAATATTACAGTAGATTATTATGTTAACGTAATACACATAACTCCCCATCCTTTATATGATGGAATGTTTCGTTATTTGAAGCCATACTCTGGCTCTTGCCAGGGGCCGCAATATATCCTGGCCATAAATATGGCCTAAAGGCTGAACGCGGTTTCTGGGACCTCTCCACGGTGATCCTCACCCAGATGGTGGCACATTGTGTCATCGGGTGTTTATCTCATATGTGTTGTCCTGGTGGGGTAGACACTCAGTCAGTCTGTTAACGTACACAAACACTGGGATGTGTCCCCTATGATCGCTGTAAACTCATTATAGATTGCATTCCTTACGATGGCCGTTCAAAGTATTGATAAATTAGACGTTTTAGGGCAGTTCTCAACCTGTGGGTCACAATCCTTTTTTGGGCTAAAGGACCCTTTCACAGGGATCGCTCAAGACCATCGTTGAAGTTATGAAGTAGCACGACCAGCTCCAGATTTATAACATGCAGCCGGGCGTGTGAAGTAGCAACGAAAATAATTGTTTGGGTGGGGGTGGCCACAGCATGAAAGGGTCTCAGCATTAAGAAAGCTTAGAACCACTGTTAAAGCTTTTCCTGCGTGTCTGAACAAAACTCGAGAGATTACTTCCTCTTCTGTAAAGCACATGCTGATTGACGATGTCAAAGAGAAAAGTAGAGGTTCATTTTCCACGCCCTTAGGCGAATTGTGAATGTAGGGCTAGACCTATATTTGTATAGACCAATCGGAAATTGGTGGGTGATGTGGTCAGTATTACGCCGGCTGCGTTTCTTTCCCAGGACCGCACCTGGTACCCACTCGAGGCTTTTTTGTGTGAAAAAAGTCCGGCTCCTTCAGGACGCGAACCCACGACCTTCCAATCCGCATGCGGGCGTCTAGCCGCCAACGCCACGGCGACTCCCATTACATAGAGAAAGGCATAGAAAAAGAGACAAGTGAAACTGTGGACTCATTGTTAGTCATTTTACTTTTATCAACGACCATTATTCTGCCTTTTCTCCGAGTCCACTTCTTTTTCCCAATCATAATTTTGTATGTGTCTGCGCGCGCGTGTGTATGTGTAAATGTATGCATGTGTTTGTGATGAGGAGTGCCTAGAGCAGACCAAGATGATTGGTTTAAGCAACGTCTCAACACGTCTTTGCAGCTCATACCACAGATGCTCAACTGGACTCATGTCTGCAGACAGGGAAGGGTTTGAATATTTTTGGCAGCCAGGAACTGCACATTCAACCGTGCAGAATGGGTCTGGCTTTTGTTGGGTCTTTAATAACACCATCCGGTAATTCTGTGCAGCGGGGAAGCAGCCCTGAGCTTCATGAACTCAGGTGGGCCCACCTCCGAATACGTTTAGGAATCGTGGGCCGAAACGTGTGTCGAAAGAGGATAATTTCTACTGATGACTGTAGATCCCCGCTGTACTTGCTCCCTGTGAGTTTATTCTTATTCTTAGAAAAGATATGTTGGCATCCTAAAATGAAAGGACATGTGGTCGAAGAATTTCATTTATTTATCTTTGCGCATTCACGCTTCCTTCAATGTGCACCAGTTGACTCCTTCCTTTGTAACT